TTCTCCATGGGAAGGCCCATATGACATAGTGGATCGTCTCTCAGACGTGACTTTCCAAATCAAATGTGGTCGGTGAGGCAAGCCAAAAGTGGTGCATGCCAACAGGCTTTGGCGTTATCACGATCCAGGACATTTCAGTTGGGACGAAGTGAACAACAGAACAAATGACGCTGCTGAAGACGTGTCACCTGAAAAAGCCACCGTCGAAGAAGAAACTCTACTCAGTTTTGAGAAGGGAAACGGTGAAGCTCTTGATGAAGTTACTACCACTGATGTGACTGTTATTGACGATAGGACATTTCCTAATGAAGCAGATGAACCCCATATGAAGCAGAAGCCAACGAAACGGAGACCAGTACGGAAGAAGATACGTCCCGTAAAATTAAGAGACTTTTTTGAATTGTAATTTTGTGTTTGTAATTCTGTTCATTTAATTAAGTTATTGTTAATTGTTATTGGTTTATTGTAAGTGGCTATTGTTCGGGATGAACAATACTAAGGATGGGGCAGTGTTGCGTCAGCGAGGTCACGTGACTAGTATCACGCCACGTCCTTCTAGAAATATACTGTTCCTTCATGAATGCTCTAGCGTTTACTAGATATGTGTTAGTCTTGTACATATAAGACGGTCACAACGGTGTGTAATTGAACTGAGTATTGTTGAGGCGAGCACGTGATAAATTCGTTGAGAATTATAGGGTTTGTTATAGCGCGACTGTTGAAATTAAGTGTATCGCAAAGTCATATTCAGAAAGAATAAACCAGTTTTATTAAGTAAGGACTTGTGTCGCTAAAGTTTCGTCGGAACGAAGTTACGGAAAATCAATTAACAAACGGAGACGTAACAATACACTCCTTTTTAATGTTTTAGTAAATTGAATAGAGTTTTTTTCCTTTTGATGCATATTGCAGCTAGTCTCTTTCTTAAAATTCATTCAAAGTCAAAGAATTTCGATTTGCTCCGTAATCAATTATCTGTAGATATTGAGGAAAACAAGTACTGTATAAAAATACCACTTAATCAGTCATTCAGAAAGTCAAACAGTTAGATAGTGAGTTTGTTAGTTAGTAAGTCATTTCAACACTAAAAATCTTGAATTTGCGTTTTACAAAGGAGAGAGCTTGCAAGTGAATAATAGTTCAGTTTTATTAATGAGTAAATTGAAGAACTTGTACGAGCAACTTCTTTGTACAGGATTGTTCGGAGTACTCACTATTTTTTTTTAGTTGTTGTTTTAAGCTGTAATATACTGTACATTAAATGACGTGATCAATTGTTGTTTTTGTTCATGACTTCATATCGAAAACGCGATAACAAATTTAGAAGAGAAATTAGATAACATCTTAGATCAATGACGTGTGTACCGTATGTAATTCTGCAAGTTTCAAAGTGCTAACAAGCTGTCCATAATTTCTGTTTTGTCCAACAAGTTTATTGTCGGTGTTAAGCAATATGATCAGGTAATGACTATCATATTTTACTATTTACTTGCATTAAACCATATTTTAACATAATAATTATCAAATATAAGTGTTTACTAACATCACATTTTAATCAAATAATTCCAGTTGGAAATCGTCATACAAGTGATAAAATGATTACTTGATAGACTGTTTATATAAACCACACAAAATGATTTTGTCATTAGGAATATAAAATATTTCTAATTTATCCGTACGAGTTATTATGAATATAATGCCAAATATTGAAACAATAATCTCTAACTTTTAGCATATTTTGAATGTAGCAGTGACCTCTATATTGGTTTTGGTTTTGCATTTTCATCATGTAAAGTACAAGATACACTCAGTGATAAGTGATTGAAGGATTAAGTATTCATAGTAATCTGTATGATTGAGATAAGCACGAAGAGCAGTGGATTGTGGAAGACAAACATCTATGTGTTTTGTTTGGCTTAACTGGTAAGATTTGTTTTCGGAATTGGTAAGTGTGTTAATAAAGCCGAATGAAAAGGTTGAAAAGTTAATATTAAATATTATCATTGTAATTATTTAAGTTATAATATCAAAAGTATGCATATTAATCGTTAAAACTTAAATGCTCATACAAATTGACTAGTAGTACTAGTAATAGTAATAAATATCTATAGAATAGTGTCAGTTAACAATATTTTAAGTTAACTCAAGTTAAACTTTCAGAGTTGGCCACTTAAAATGTTAAATCTACTATTACTATTATTAATAATAATAGTAATAG